CGAGGCGAGGCGCGAGGTCGCAAGGTGAGGGCGCGAGGCCGCGAGGTGAAGACGCGGTGACGGTGCGAGTGATATTATATTATATCATATTATATTATATTGTACCATATTATATTATATTGTACTATATTATATTATATTATATTATATTATATTATATTATATTATATTATATTATATTATATTATATTATATTGATACGTGGGTGAGGCCGGAAGGCCTCGAGGTGCGCGAGGCGAGGGCGAGGCTAGGCCGCGAGGTAACGAAGCGAGGCGCAGCAAGGGCAGCCTTTTCAGGTCCGTGCTGCTTTCGGTTTTCGGGCTGCTTTTGGTTTTCGGGTTTTGCATCTCGTAGTTAAAAGTTAACAAGTACCAGCACTTGCAACATAACCCCCCGAACCGTCTATGCACTGCATGCCATACACGTAGATCCAAACTCCAGACGACGACGGCGGACTCTTAAAGCATTGGAGAAGCAGGGAGCAAACTGCTAGAAGGGGACTATAGAGTATTTAAGAAACAGGGAGCAAACCGCTCGAAGGTGAGTGGGGTATTTGAGAAACAGTGAGCAAAACCCTCGACAGGAACTCGCGTATTTGAGGAACAAGGAGCAAACCGCTCCAAAGGGATTAGACATTTTATTGAGAAACAAGGAGAAAGCCGATCCAAAAGGACTGGAATCTTTGAAAAACGGGGAGCAAGCCGTTAACTCGCCCGAAAGAATGAGCCAACCCCTCGAAAGGGACTTGAGTGGTTGAAAAACCTAGCAGCGTACCGCTCGAAAGGGATAAAAGCTTTTGAGAAGCAAGTGTGGGGGGGGTTCCGAAAATAGGGGGACCCTAACATGGTACCCAAAATAGTTGGATCCTCATTATAAGGACCCCCCCATTTTTTTAAATAAGGTAGCCCTTATTTTCGGAAACTCCTAAGTTGCAAATCGCTCGAAAGCGACGAGGAAATTGGAAGTACACCGCTCGAAAGAGCCACAAGTGTTTGAAGAACATGGGGCAATCTGCTCGAAAGGGAATAGAGTATGACAGAAACAGGAAGCAAAGCACCCGAAAGGGATGGCAGTATCGCTCGAAAGGGACTAGAGTATATGAGAAACAAGGAGCAGTGTATGAAACAACAAAGAGCAAACCTCGCGAAAGGAACTATCGTATCTATGGAGTATCTTTGATGGCATCTCTGATGGGCATGATGCAATGAGACCTCAGCGACGTCGTGAGGTTTTGTCGTAATTTCCGGCTTTATGAAGATTTGCAGAGTCTCAAGGTTCATAAGAATATTCGTTGAAGTAAGTTCAGAAGCACGCACACACAGCAACACAAACAACCACAAAAAATACAGAGCACCCGTTCTTCTCCGGAAGGCGGCATCCGCAGCCCGACGCCTTTCACTTACGACGACTACGTGCCTCTCGGCTTCAAAGCAAAACGCGACTGAGGCATCAAAATCCCTGTGACTAGTGTTTAGGGCTTTGTTGGGTTTTAAAAATTTTAGCAGTTAGGATTTACAGTTGCCTTGTTGAATCACAATATGGTTTTGCGTACACTATGGGGTGGTATCCACATGGTTTACACACGCAGGGGGTTTACTTGGACTAGCTTTTTGGTTTTGGGTTTAGGCTTGAGGGTTCGGGCTGGAGGCTTTAATATCGAACATATCCGGGGCTCTTATACAGTAAATAGAACAGGATTTTGGGGGTTTGTCGTAACAGCTCAATCAAATTTAGAGGGTATAAAGGCAAATTGCGATCAAGCACTGAAGCGAAAAATTCGATCGGCAGATACCTTGAAGCACACAGGGCCATAGCGGCTGATGGAGACGTACAGTGCTCCTTGAATGCTACAACTGTAGGGTTCTACAGTGACCTTGTAGAGTTTTACATGGCTTTGTGCGAGATTCGCTGGGTTTTGTATATGGGGGTTCGGACAAATAGGGGTCCTTGTTCATGGGCCCTCACAGCAGCATCCCTAGATGACTGCAAGCCATGCACGGTATTATTTATCCGGGGCCGGCCATGATAAGTCTAAGTCATGCTAGTATACTTCAAGTATCATAAACCCGCAAATCCTAATGCTGATGATAAAAACTGCTCCTGGCGAGGTTCGTCCTGGGGGAGGACGTGAAGATGTATCCAAAGCCCCGTACCGCAACGCGATATGGAGTCAATGATGGCTGCGAGCTTGACAGGGCCCCAGATTCAGGATCTCGAACTTCGGACTCGTACTGTGAACTCCGAGAGCCTGATAGCGCTTTAAGCAACAGGCGTTAAGGCCCTGCGACAGTCTGGCACATCTATTCATTCCTTCTTGTTGTAAGGGGAGCGGGGTTAAAGCTATACTGAGGATCCCGAGGCGTTAAGGGCTCGTCTCTTATTTGTGGGCCTTGCATGCTGCGCAGAGGCTCTGCCATTTCGACCAGCGGAGATGGATGTTTAAGTAGAACGAGGGCTTGTCGCAAGGTGGATCAGCATCAACAGTCCCCCTCTCACAGCGACCAAGGGTTTGCCAGACAACCCACTGCCTCTAAATTTATCACGAAACGACACTTCAAGTCATAGTATCGAGCCCTATTTACATTTGGCGATTGGGAACTCGGGAACCTTTTTTGAAGGCCTGCCTAGCTTTCCTAACATCGTACGTTAGCCCTAAACCCCTGAAGCTTTAAACCCTAAACCTGAAGCCCTAAACCCAGACTTTTTCGCAGTTAGGCCATATACAACCTCACGATCGACGGCGCAACAGGTGTTGCTGCTCGGCTACCACGTGGAGCCACTATTGATTTAGTTAGTCTACGTTGCATCCCACGGTTCGGGTTTATGGCTTAGGGTCCCCTATGCACCTGAAAACCATCATACTAACCATACTACGAAAAGAGCGTCCAAGCAGGATTGCAGAAGCCTCAGGGACGTACTAGATGATCTGCATTCTCTCAAGCTGCGGTCTTGTCGGAAATGAGTAGCAAACCCCCATCATGGACGTAGAAGGGGTTTAAATCCATCCTGATCGTTGTAGCAGATTCCTTTATAAGAACTGAGCGGGACTCTCTTACTATTCAAACCTCTGTACTGCGCCTGTCTGCATGACCCCCTGCAGTGTGACTGTTGTACGGCATGCCTCAAAGCGCTACGGTTGCGATGGAAAGCAGATGACGTCGTCAAGCCGAGAGGCATAGGAAGGAGTCATGAAGCTGGACCTCTGGTGTTTGCGGAACCCTAAGCCCTACCCGGATTCATAGGGATGCCTGTTGCACTTGAACCATGGTGCACATGGCAGCCTTGAGGGGTCAGATCCCGAAGCCCAACATCCTCAAAGCCACTGAAAGCTCGAATATAGAAGCCTAACTAATTGCCAAGGCTCCGTAGTATGATTACTAAACCCACTTAAAGCTTGAATCAAACTACTTACCCATGCTAGCTCGGTGGGTTGTTATTGTATGTAGATTATAAGATACCTCAGAAGATTATGCTAATTATTGAGGATATAAAACTAAATCCCATGTTGCCGACCATGAGTCCCTCCAAAAGGCCCTCACAAAACCTCCTCACCCCAAAGCTGGCGACGCAACTCCCAGGTCAGCTACATCAAGGGCCGCGACAAGCCCAAAGAGCCCTTCAAGGTGTCCTGCAAGGCCGGTTGAAGCATCTGAGTAGAAGTGCCCTCTACGGGCTGTACGGGTTCTGCAGAGGTTTCTTTGGGGATCTATACGGGATCTTAAAAGGTTCTACCTTGGATCTGTTAGAGTTCTTCCAGGATTCTCTGGGGATCTGCAAAGGCCCTTAAGAGGGTTGCATCGGGAGCTATAGGGGCCAGTCTTTAAACGGCTCAGGAAACCACTAGGGAGTGACAGAGACTTCATGTGGGTCTGGATTTTAGGAGTTCCACACCCAGGGTGTTGCTTGGTTGAGGGATTTCGGGATTCATTCATCCCAGGGCGAAGAATAAGCAAGGGCAGTTGTTTGGGGACGCAGGAGGACCTAAGCAGCCCATGTATCCTCGATAACCGAGGAAGACTGTAGGGATTAGAAACTTGGAAAGTGTTGGATTTAGGCGAATGTGTTACGGGCCGTGTGGTTACATGTCTGAAATTCGTCGGATCCTCACGCTACTGCAACGCGTTGCAAGATCGTATAGCGCACGGGGGCCTTAAAACCCCTCCATTAAGATCCCTCTATCCGACTCTATCCTACACCCCAAAATGAAGCATTTCTTTTGATGGAGGTCACTGCTTTTCAGCTGCACCACCAGATCTTCACGGCAGCGTGGCAGAAGATTTCTTTATATACAAGTCCCGTAGTTCCTTGCAAAAGTTCCTTTTGGTGGACATCAACAGTGGCTGTGAGGCCGTTTCTGGTCCCCGAAACCCTCAACCCTGCAGCCTAAACCCCCCGAGCCCTGCACCCAACCCGATTTGGTACATCATACCCTTCTACGACCCCTATCGGAAGCATGCTGCATTGGAGCCCTCAAACTTACAACCTTACATCCCACGGCCCTACACCCTTCAACCTCGAGGCCTAAAGCCGCAAACCCTAAACAGCCGTAAACTTAGTAGACCCAGGCTCAGATCTCTCGCTAAGGCCGATATCAACGTCGCGGTTCAGGAGCTTTCCTACGGCGCCTCCGTGCTGACGCCGGGGGCCCAAAGAATACATGCAGGGCTGTGGCTTCGTAGTGTTTGGGGCTTTAGAGGTCACCGGGTTACCTCCAATGTCTAGCGAGAGATGGTTGCCTTATTATGATTATGTATCATCATACTTGCACACCATTAGATCGTAGACTCTTATACTTTTCCATATTTTTGTGTAGCTTCAGGGCTTTGGTCTTTGCGGGCTACTGCCTAGGGCTTCTGGTATTGGTTGTCGGGGTTGAGTGTTTCGGTCTTGGGCTGCGGCCAGTGGGTCGGTTTCCGCCGTCACATGCGACTGAGTACTAAGGAACTGCGAACCGAACCCTTACAAGGAGCCCGTAGAGGAAGCCCAAATAGGAACCCGAAGAGGAACCGCAGCCTGCGGTGCGCCGAGATGGTTCGTGGGTTTAAGATGCAAGACTGGACATCCGAACATGCAGACTCGTACTGCAACCCTTCCTCCTACTTCGTAGACCAGGGTCCTGAAGCGGCTTACTCTGAGGATTTAGGCAAGCTGAAGCAAGCAAACTATTCAGGCCCCTATTGCTGTGCCTGTTCCTCCAAGATGGGTGCGGTGGCTTTGCCTGTGGCTTGTGTGGCACCGCGAGACTCTGAAACCTTAGAGTGCAGTTGGCATCTGCAAGAAGCGGGCTTATGGACCAAGGCTCCCTCAACTTTGGGGTTTCAGATGCAAGAAGGAACCCTAAACCCTGAACCCCAAGTTCTGACAGGTTCACGCCGCAGACCACTCTCTACGAGCTGCGCAAGAGTGCCAGCAGTGAGTGGAAGGCGCAAGAAGCAACTCAACCCGTCCCCCCCCCTCTTCGAGAGTACTGTCGGGTGGGGCTTGAATGACAGGTAGCCATCAGGTCGCCTTGGGGTCCTTATCGGCTTAAGTATATTTACCCCAAAGCAGTGTGCTTTGTATTGAGATCTCCCACGGTAGAACGCAACTCTGTCAAGTTTCGAGTCCCGAGATGCCCGAAGGATCCACCATCTCCCGCAAGGGCCCCCCACGCGACCCGCCCGTGCGGAAATCCTGCAGAATAGAATCTAGGATAGGGTTTAGGGTTTAGGGTTTAGGGAAACGGTTTGCAGAATAAAATCTAGCATGGGGAATGGACCAAAATGCAGCAATGCAGGAGTTTGTCCAATGCAGCAACGCGCATCAGCCCTATGCAGCGCACCCATTGAATTGTGTCTGCGTCAGGACTTCAGCACAAACTGTGCTCCAGAAGCAAAGTGGTTGAAGCTTGAGAAAAATGGGCATCCAGGCTGCAAGCAAATCTAGGGGAAAAGGTTGCTGGTTGAAATTCCATGTTCCTGTTCCTTGGCTTCCGACATCTTTCGACTCTCGGCTAGCGCTAGGACATCTTCGATAGGTACCTGGAAACCACCCTAGACCCGAAATCGTAAACCCCTTCCCTCACTTAGGAAATCAACCTCAATACGCGCCGTAGGGTTACAAAGCTTTACAGGCATTGGAAGTCCAGTAAGTGAGAGAAATGCTTTAAATCATACCCTTAAGGCAAAAAACCCTACACTTTATGGAATCCTGCGTATTTCAGGACCCTGCAACCCAAAATCCTGCGTATTTCAGGACCCTGCAACCCAAAATCTGCATAAAACGCGTACAGGTCCTTGAACTAAAGGCGCCCAAATCCTAAACCTATTGCTTTCTAAGCCCCGCCCCCCAACCCCGAATCCCAAGCCCCCATGAACCCTTACACCCTAAACCCTAAACCCTTAAACCCTAAGCCCCTAAACCCTAAACCCTAAACCCTAAACCCTTAACCACCCTTAAACCCTAAACCCTTAAACCCCTAAACCCTAAACCCTTAAACCCTAAACCCCTAAACCCTAAACCCTTAAACCCCTAAGCCCTAAACCCCCCAAAGCTCCGAGTTCCCCCTTTTGGCCCTGCTCAAGCCTCGAAGCCTCAGGAACCTCAAGGTGGTTAAAGGCGATGAGACCGGCGTCGTCGACAGCATCCAGGAGCATTTTAGGGCTATATGGTCAGGCGTCTGGCGTTCCCGGCCCCCCCTCCCCAATGGTATGGTCTGGTCGGGGTGGGGGGGGGAGGGGGGGGGGGGCTGGCGTGGGCGGAGTGGGGTCGGGGCGGTTGTGCGGCCAGGCGTCACAGGGAGGGCCGGGTCGGGCCGGGATCTTACGCAAGCCCTACGCAAGCCATAAACCCTATATAATAAGGTAGGGCGTGTTCCTGTTTCT